CAGAAAGAGGCAATTACATAAACTTCAAACTTACAAAACGTGACTATTCCAAATTGTAAGGAAAGGTTTACATTTTACCTAAACAGTTCTTAATTAATTGCAAAACTACTTTTCGACGAGCATCGATGTGTAAGTTTCAAACAATTTCAGAGGCTTCTCATATTTCGTATTTTACACTAAAACGGGACTCCTTTTACTATAGTCAACTTTGAAGGGTGAAAATTCTTAAAAACTTTTCGTACGGTTTTCATTAAATTAAAATACCTTTAGTTATGAAACTTAAAAGGGAAGGGGGATTAGTTTTTACGTATTAAACGTTATTGTTGCGAAGCTATAAAAATATAAAATATAGATATGGTGAAAAATAACAAATGTCCTTAGATTTTGTTTGTGATAAAACATGTTTATATGGAATCAGAGTAAGATGCAAGGTAAGCCTGCAGTAATCCGCGCTAAGTTACAAAGAAATCTCAAACTCTTTATCTGAATGGAAAGAGATTTATCACATATGGGCGCAAATATAAGACGGATCATACGATGAAAATACTTTGTTAAAATAAAATATAGCCACATCTAGAGCACGACCCCGAGATGACACGCCACCTTGTGGTTCAAATGTCAACTGAAATAGCACAAATTTGGTTACAGATCTATAGGAGTTCAAAAATACAGACAAGATCAATAAGTTTGAGATCAGATTATTTTCAAAACTATTATTTTATTTAATTAAAAATAGTAATTGTAAGTCCATATTTTATAGTAGGACTATGACGGCATAGATTTTTTGATCGGCATATTGTGATAGCTTATGGTCAAGAGATCATATTTTAAAATCAAAGAATTAATTAAATTATTGTTAAACAGTCGATATATTTTATTCTAGACTAAGTCAAATACTCAATTTTCTATGCAAGTGGAAATGTTAAGTGATGCGGCAGCGGCATTTAGCTTTGTACTTCCGTCACGCAACACCACAACCGATAGGTGCAAAATTAATAAAGAAATACTAGGAAAATCGACGCTTGTAAAATGAAATATGATAATGCAAACTAGACTAAACGTGAGTCCCTAGACACTAGCTAGGTTATTCTAGGAAATTGATTTATTAATTAAACTACGTATTTACCTATTACGTTGAAATGTGTAACTGAATGTTAATAGTACTGTCGGGATTATACTACAAAGCAAAGTCGAATCAATGCAAAGGCGTCGTCTACAGACTTTGGAACGTTCAGTCTATAAGAATCACGACCGACCTCGTGTTTTGGTATATAATGAGTCTATACATTATGAGCATTCTGCACAGTAATAAAATGTATATTATAAATATGAACTACGCTTTAAAACCGAGCAACGTTTCAAAATTCGGATTAAAAGACTGTTTAATTCTACGAATAATCTTCTAAGTCGACTACAACAATGCATTTTTCCGATAATTTACGCCTGACTAAATTCTGTGTATGCCGTAATAGCTGGAAATATGTCTTTGTTGTATTATAGGCAATTGAACAGTACTGAGAGTGTCGGCACAAGTATTTTTGCCGTAAATGAAGTGAGAGCTATCGTGGAATATAAATCCAGTTAGCTCCGTTGGATACTCTTCACTGAAGCACGTGCTGAACTACGGACTTTTATAACTTAATTATTAACTTTTAGCGTTTACTTTTCATACATATAACTAGGACAGTATGAAATAGGAAATCGGAATATGAAACTAGAAAATTATAATCGTAGTTTTTAAAGTGTAAGCAGAAAATGTGTGTTTCCTAGTATCGTGTGAAATATTAGTACAAAAATGGGTGACACCTGTATTTAATACCTACATATTCATACATATTAGAAACTAGAATGTGATTAAATCGCTACATTATTTAGATTGACAACAAGCTAGCATCATGTATGCACACGTCAATTAGAAATGAATCAATCGGTAGGGACAAACATTGGCTCTGCCTGACAGTGTTTACAATACCAAGTCACTGATATGAGGACAACAATTTGCGTTCCGACTGTGTAGGTGTGTTCTTTTAAACATAGTCAATTACACATCGTTAAAAAATCATTATTATCAGACTTTAAACAAAAATATATTTCGTTTGTTTAGAGAGTTGCTAACTGTACTTTTCTTTTGCATTAAAACTTAGTCTTGTCATATTAAGTTCCAGCAGGAAAAATGAACGGAAACCGTATAAAAAAGTAAAGTTGTTACGTTTATTTTTCCAAGTTGTGCTTTAAGTTAGGCATTAATCAGATTTGGTCATAACAAATGGGTTAAACCTTTTGAATTAGAGGGTCTTAAAACATATAAATCATAGCCAGGTTCAATGTCGAGATACATACAAGTACAGTCACGACAACTTTATGATCAAGCATATTATCAAAATGGCCATGCACTTCTCAAGAGCTCAAACTGAAACTCTTTGAATTGGCTGTCAAAAAATTATAACACGAAAGCAAACAGTACTCAAACAGACTTTTCGATTCGTACAACACGTCAATTGCAAACGCATTTTTAATTATTTCCTATAATCATGTCAAGCAGAAGAATTTTGGGAAATCAATTAAAATTAAATCACGTGCAGTGAGCTTCCGCACTGTCCACCTTCCAATGTTCAATACTAATATTAATAATTATCGACACTAGGAAAATCAATTTAACGTAAACGCATTATTTGTGAAATAAATATGTTTAAATTATTCTATTGATCATAATATTAGTTCGCATAATAGAAGTATTAATTTTAATCATGTCAAAGGAAACCGATGCCGTATAGGTAATGTTTTTGAATTTGTATTATGTTGTTAACGAACAGCGGAGAGGCGTAGATCTTACGAGTGATGATAAATAAAAACATACTGTACCTTACAGTTGGCATGCACGTTAGGCACACATAGACAATGTTTACAGCAGCATCGGTTCAGCATTACAGCAGCTAAAGTGATTTCTAAGGTCTAGGTCAATTAAAGGTACCTAGAGCACGCTTTGTCTATACTCCAAAATTAGTGGTTGCTTTGATAAAAAAACAAAGATCAAAGCTATCGTTTTCCTCATACAAAAGTACAAAATTCTTATATTGGAAATTTGATGGGCATATACACTGTGGTTTCCGATACTTCAGGCTGTTCCTCTTAAAAAGTCTTGGGTAGGATTATGTTTATAATAATATATTATGATTATACATATAATTAATTTCTCATTTTTTCAAAGCACGTGCTTGAATAGGTATCTTTCATTTACCTGGAAAACGTCTTAAAATTAAAAAATATTGCTATACTTAAAAGATCGCCCTGTATGAAATTTAAAAACCAATGTTTTATCTTAGTATAGTGGAACTAAAAATACTGATGATTCTAGTTTTTTTTTCTTCGTGGCTTTTCAAGTACCTCATAAACAAGTTTAATTAATTTGAAACTTGAAGCATTAACTTTTACTTTGATATATTTGAGACTTACATCTTTAAGTAAGTATAGCAATATTTCTTTTTAACACCAAACTTCTCATTCCTGTGATAAGAAGAAGAAAAGTAATCTAGTTTAGTTTCTTTTCGGATAAAAAAATTAATGTGTATCTCTTTTATAGTTTCAAAGTTGGAAGTAGACCTGTTTATTAAAGTTATGGAAAACAAATCTGATCGAGTTCTAAGAAGTATTTTTTAGACCAGTAAATTCATAAAGAGGATTATTCCATCACTTTTATCTAATAAAAAAAATATCAACGTGCTCTTAATTTGAAATGAAGGCTACTTACTTATACTTCTTATAATATGATATTTGTTATTAAGTATAAGTTTTAAAATTTAAATGCTTTGAATTTGTTTGTGTGCAAGTATATCGCATATGAAGGATATCGACGTCGGGGCAGCCACCCTGCATATACGCATGGTGCGTATATGCAGGGTGGCTGCCCCGACGTCGATAGGCCCAACAAAGGATGAGATAATTGAGTGTAGCAGAAATGACGCCACAGTTCTGATGTAATTACATGCCAAATGCATGCAGATCTACCGCTTTTAATTTATATATTATTTAATTTAATAGGAAATTGCCACCAGTCTCCTCCGAAATTGCAATTCGAAAAAGACGCAACTCGACGTTTATGACAATACAATATCACTATTGTGTATAAAACATGTCAATTTGAATGAAATTGAGGGTTAAATTCGTTAAACAAATACTTCTTACTGATTTGCAACTTAATTATGAAGAGAACTAGACTTTCTGTGCTGAATAGATTGAGTTTTCTTCTTTTCTCCATTCTCTCCTGTCAGTTGTCATGCTATAACAACCTCTTTTCTCTTTGTACTCTTTGTGATCTCACTACACGCCTATTGACGGCCTACTCTAAGAACAACCTATACCATTACGTCCTTCAACATTTAAATATGAAACTATAAGAAGAATTTTGTTTCAAGTAGCAATTAATTGCATTATTTAATTCGAACAAGTGCCTATCAATTTCGTTACTTTTTCAATTAAGCTTGGCAGGTTTTAACTGTGCTTGTTTGACGTAACCTTATTGGACTATCTGCAGGTGATGTAGCTGTGAAAACTCCTTTCTGCAAATCCCTATAATATCTGGATACACATGTACCTAGGAATTAAAGGACAAGAAATGTTTTTATTTTTAATAGAAAGTAGTTTTAATATAAACGTGTTAATGTTTCGCCAACACTTTCAATCAATTTTATGGTGATTTTTATATTTTGTTTACTTCTTTTATTCCTTATCCTCGTTTCCTAGAAATAACAACCCTGATATTCAAATTGCGACATAATTTTATACTTATTTAAATGATGTAGAAACATTTTAAGGACATATTTTGAATATAAGGGTTGTTGTCATGGAAGTGTAATGACTAATGGTTTCAACAAATCAGGTAACATGTTGTTCCATCAATGGTGATACCATCAGTTTCAGTAAACCACCTCCAGAACTTACGCTATCCACAAACCTTTTGCAGACCACTTTCCAGCTGAGAATGGGCCCTGTAATTTACTTACCGTTACATAGTTAGCGTTGATGTAGTCCCTCTCACAACGCTTCAGCACAACCCTGGTGTGGTCGAAGGGGTTCACGTCGCGGTAGCGGTTCAGTGGCTTGTTCTGAGGCTTCTTGGCTTCGTTCAAGGTGTAGCCGTACCGTTGGCATTCCAGCCCGATCTTCTGTTGGTGGAAAATGTCTATATTAGTATTTCTATTGTACTGAGGCTTGTGAAACAGTTTAGAATGAGTAACCATGGATAATTATTTCGCACTGCAAAATGCATAAGCAAGTAAATAACCAGCACATAAAAATATGTTAGCTGGTAGTTGACATTTTATAAATCATAATTTTTTCCTGTGATACTCAAGAAACATATAATTTTAGAGACTAGGTCTCTGAGTGTCTCAAAATTACGGCACAATGAAATTTAAAGAGACTTAAGCCCTATGGTTTTCGAATTACGGCAACATATGTATACGTAAATAGCGCCAAATTGATAAAAAAATATTGCAACACTCAACTCAAATTACAGATTTGATTTAGAGAGAGTTGAAAGGATATTTTCTGCATTAAATTATGACGTGGATATATTTGGATATTACAGTGTTTTAATGGATACTTTTATTTTATTTCTAACAGATTTAGAGCCTATACCTCAATGTCTCATTAAAGTACTGGTATCTAACAATTAATTTCATTCCTAACAACATTTTGTATTCCATGTGTTAGATAAAATACTTAATAGCAAATAAAGATGCAGATTGCAAAACCACCCCTCACTGTATTAAATTTTATTAATTTAAATAAATGTAAATTAATTACAAAAATCTGAAATTCTGTAATGTTGTCTACATTACAGAATTTCAGATTTTTGTAATTCCTAATTATGTTCATGAAACAAATTTTGAAATTAAGAGTTGAACCTTGTTATATGACTTTCGAACTTGAATAAATATTTTGTTATGTTTTTCCAATTGAAATATTGATATGCAAAGTTATGAATTGAGATTTTTTTTTTTACTGTTTTATTTTATTTAGGGTGTCTTGAAAGATTATATAAGTTCAAATTAATTGAGTATTTTGAGCCACAACAATGGCTAAAGTTTACATTCTAAATTAATATTTTTGTCTCACAACAAAAAAATATTAAATAATTGCTATAAATGAGCTTAAAGCATGACCCCAGGATGAAAGTGATAAGTTCACATTTTTAAATTGTTTTATTTACTGATTTGCCATTGTAATTGTATGTGTTCATATGATAAGTAAGCCCAGTATATAAACAGTAGCAGATAGCAGAATGTTAATTCATAATATAATATAAGTACATAGATGTTGTTCATGCAGAAGACCTTCAGGAAGTTTGACTCCAGCAGCTCACCTATGGAACCTACTAAACTAAAATACATCTAAAACTTTTCATTATCACATACTCCTTGTCAGCAACACAGCAACTCTCCTCTGACCAGATAGAACACAGAAGGAAATAAAAAAACCATTACCAATAAGAACAAAAACATAAATACTAAAGCAAATATAACATAGCAAATGCAACTATTCCGATGCCACGGCTAAAATACGCTAGCCAAAACTATTACTATCCCAAACGATGACCAAACAATGTTAAAAAAGTTTCATGAAATCGCGAGTCGGAATAAGTTACTAAGATGTTGTTAGTTTTTAGCGCGTGGCACAGACATACCGCGTCCCACCTACGCAACGTACCTGATAGACCAGGGCCCAAGCATTCCTGGACACGATGTCCAAGTACTCCTCCTCAACTTTGTTGGTGTACACGTTGTTTTGACTCATTGTTCAAGTTGTTTCCTTCTTGGCTCACTCTTAACGAAGTATTGTTTGGGTATCGGATACCGCAAACTGTTCAAGTTTGGAAGTTACTAACAGTTGTAACAGGTGATTGATATGTTGTGAATACAGGATGTGCCCGGTGCAGGTGTTATGCCAAACTTATTTCAACCCGTAACAACTGTTCCAGCGACGAAATCAGAATGATTTAGATTTGGATAGCGGCCTTCGACATGAGTGCACCGCTGTCGGATTTAGTGTTGTCAGTTTTGTTTACAAAATCACTGCCTCCGTCTAATCCTACCACGGTAGATTTGTAATGTCAAAATTTGCGTGCCAAATTCAAATTCTCAAATAGTATTCGAAACCAAAATCTTTGATTTTAATGAAAGATATTTTTTGGTGAAAGTGCAACGTTCTTGACTGTAAATATGTCATTTTTCCATATACTGTGCATGAAAATCTTTGTAGGTAGCAATTGTAGTCATTCAAAATCTGATAAAATACTGTTATTTACTTCTCCTTAAAATATTCATAATTTATTTAAAGATGTTGAGTTGTTAATACTTTATTTAAAATTGTTTTGTTATCTCAATTCTTTATTTCTTTAGAATCTGTATCATAGTAAAAAAATAATCTACTTTCATACGGACCTCTAACACAGTGGCAATACTTGCGTGTTCCTGAAAAAGTTCAAAGGATAAGCCATAGATGTCACTGTAACACCAAGTTTTCAATGTCGTTTGTTGGTTGCTTTTATCCATAATCCTTCGTAGGTCCTTAATACAAATAAATAATTAAGAATGCATTTATGATCATTTATCTGGAAATCAATTACTTTAATGTACATACCTACGTTTTTAATAAATTCACCTTTAGAAAATAATTCTCTTGATTAGTGAGACTGATGATGGATGTTTTTTTTCGTTTCAATACAAGTGATACTTAGGAAATACGAATCAACATACTGTTGCATTCAATTGGTCCTTTGCTTTCGCATCACGCCTCAATGTATAATGAAACAATTTGGTAAACAAGGGGACGAACTGATGGTAAGCAACCGATATAACCAGAGGAGTTACTATAGTGCGAAGCAGACCATTTGAAGATTTTGCATTTTGGGATTGAAGATGGGGCGACTTTTACGCCGTGTTCTGTACGACCATGAAATCTACAGAACAGTAAAAATAGTTTTTAGTGTTCTGTGGTGAAATAATTCTGGTCGAGCTTTATCTTTAACAGCGTATTGTTTCAAGCCTGAGCCTGAGATGAAACCAAATCTACTGAATTAGAGAGAGAGTTAGAGAACTCTAACAGTTTTTAAGTTTCACTTTTATACCTTTGCATGTCTGTCTTATAGTGGCACTGCACTTATAACTTATTTAAGAAAAACGGTTTACGAAAAATTGGTAGAAAATCAGTGGTGAAATAATTTGCATGCCAATAGGTTTGGTCTCAAATATTAAATGTATCCTGGTTCTATTTGACGTAAAAAGATTTGTCTATGGATGCCAAGTGGACGTCTGAAAAATTTTGACGTTTCCGACGTTTCGTCGATTTGCACTGTTTGCGTGTAAAAAGTACTTTGTGCGTAACTGCATTTATTTAAAATTAAATTATACACACAAACTTAAATTAATTAATTAACAATGGCTTCGCCACGAACCCGCAGGAAGCTCAACTCTATTAGAAATATCGACGATAATAACGTAAGTATTTTTTTCTTATTAAAATTTGTGTCCGTATGCTAAGAATACGAGCATGATATTCAAAATTTTTCGTATATATCTTTACAGAAATGTTTCGAGTGTGGCACATTAAATCCGCAATGGGTTTCTGTTACGTATGGAATCTGGATATGCTTAGAATGCTCAGGGGTGCACCGCAGTCTAGGAGTTCACCTTTCATTCGTTCGAAGTGTCACCATGGATAAATGGAAGGATTTGGAGCTAGAGAAAATGATGGTAAGACCCCTTGTCTCTTTATTTATTTGTTGGTATGGTATACCTTTGTAAATGATAGCAGTGTTTTAATTGAACATTCCAAAAAACTCAACACACAATTTTGTGGAGGACTAACTAACTAAGTTGGGAAACTGCATTATTTTACTATATCTATACTTTTGAACTCCTTAGGAGTATGAGTAGAGTAAGTATCTGCTCTGTATCATTGTGCAAAAGTCAATAAATCTTTGTAACCATGTCAGGAAGTAAGACATATTGGTTTGCTCAAATGTATACAGTTTTAGAGTGAATATTATAAAGACACAGTGTTTATCATATAGTTAAGATTCTTTGGATATTATATGTTTCAATACAAAATGTAGACTACAGAGAAACATCTTTATTTGCCTACTTTCACTTAAATGCCAAAGGTCATCTGTTTCATTCAGAGTACTGATAGGTCAACAATTTAATATATTTCAGTATTCCTTTGATGTTTTAACATAATTGTGAAAATTGTTTAGCACCCAACAAGCACTTATTAATTTCTTTGAAAGTTTCTTTATCATTTATTAAATTATTTTAAATATGTTTTAGAATTTTAGAAGTTATTAGTGAACACTTTTATATTAAACAGCTTGTGTTATGTGAATAAATATATAGTTATTAGGGGCAAATAAAACTAGGCTAGATTGTTAGAGATGTACAATAAAATATAGCAAATTTTTACCAGTAACATTAAGACTGCAGACAATCTTAGTGTGGGAAAATGCCTTTTACATTAAGCCTCTTACATATTTTAACTTACTACTAACTTCACAGCAATCTTAACATAACTGGTAAAGCATAGTGGCATTTTAGTGGGAATAAGATTTTTTCCTAAGGTGTGAGTTTGTTAATAAACTTTTACATCACATCCAGACTTGGAACTGATCAGTGGACTTTACAAACAGTTGCCAGTCTACTGCAACATCTGTGCACAGTCATGTCAAGGTTAACTGAATAGTTATTAGTGTGCTAGTGTCCCATTGCTAGGCTAGACATTCTCCTCTTCAAGCCTGAGATTAAATCTTCATTTTATTCATTTACTTACCATACTTAATACCAAACACTCAAGTCTAATAGCATCATCGGTAGGAATAGTCTGTCACTTCAGTAAAAAGAAAATATTGTTGTTGTCACATGTTTTATGTTTAAAACTATATGATACTCTTATTAAATATTTATCAGATATTAAACTAAAATATAAAAAGACGTATAAGTATTATAAAACACACACAGAAGCTCGCCTTGTCTCAACACAATGTTTGCTAGCAGTGTTAAAAGGCTCATATAGATGGCACTACTGTTGTAACTTTAACACACATTTATTTGGCAAACACACATTCACATGCATTTGAAAAGTATTCGTATTATATTCTAATATTTTTAAAAAGATGAAGGAAATGTTTCTTCGTACAATACACCTTGTGTACAGTATTTATTATTTTTAAAAGGTATCATGTGTTTTAATTTAAATTATTGCTATGCGTTTGAAACTTATACTTGTGCATTTTTTTAGTCTATTACTGCTTGGCGATGCATAGATAAATTGTCTAAGAGTAATTGTTTATTACCTGTAGTGATCATGCATTGGTAACAGTTAAAGATAAATTAAAGAATGAGTCCAGTCCATTGTTATTAACTATTTTCTATGAGAATAGAATTTATGAAATATTTTGCTAGCTAAATTAATTAATTTTTACCTATATTGCCTTACTTATAAATAGACCTAAACAAGGTATTGACCTGTTCCTAGTTGCTGTTTAAATCTTGCTGTTGCGATGATGTAATTCAGTTGTTCTGAAGGGCGCAGCAGGTTGAAAGACGCGACTTTTAATCGATATTTAAAGGTCACGATATCTATCTTTGTGAAATGGCTGCCACCATTCCTATTGTTCATAATTTTTCTAAGATATGCTACTAAACTACTTAGTTAATACATTGGAAAGAAGAATTTCGAGAGGAAGCCTAGTTTTTCCCTGACGAAGCCCAAAATGGGGTATCACTTTTATATTGTTGAATGATTGCATGGGAATCTAGATTGTTATTTAAGTGTTGGGCTAGTTGTGAAATCCTATTTTAATCTTGTAAAATATTTTGTATTTTACAAACGTATAGGACAGGACAGTAGCGACATCATGTTGTTTTGACTAGGAAACTACGTTCATCGAAACGCCGAACGAAGACTCAACGTGTCTAGGCTGAAAGTGTTATTTCATACTTCACAGAGATGGCGCCTCACGTTTGCATCTAAAAAAGGGTAAACGAACTCCGTTTTTTGACAATTTAAGCAAATTCTTAATTGAGTTCAAATTAAAAATGTAAAGCTGAAAAAGTGGGAATTAAAATATGTTTGGAAGACCGATTACGGTGGTCCTATTTTGTATTGCAAATTGTTCTGTTTTGATGCGTGTCAACGTTTAGCTGTAAGGCTTTGCGTTTCAAGCTGTTGCGATTTTAATTTTTGTGTTGTAACTTTTGCGGGATATAATAAATTAATTATTATGTTTAACGGATTATTAAGGTAACTGTTTAACGAAGAACCCTATTAAACATTACCTTTCCAGCTTGGCTTGAAATCAGACGAGTAATTAAGTTGTTATACTTACGAAATTGATACAAATATAAAGAAATCATGTCTTTTAGTACTTCCAGACAATTTTTTCATTGATAGGTTGGTCGCGTTTTCTATTGTATATAGGTATAGACCCGAATCCTCAGTATAATATCTATATGTGGGTAGGCTAAAGTTTTGTTATGAGTCTTATGTAGTTGAAGTTGAGTCTATTTTTATATACTGGTCGCAATTCTATAGTCAGGAAAAAAGAACAAGACGAATTTGTATTAATTAAATTGTTATTATTTCAAGGAGATAATGAAAAGGACATGACCAACTTTTGTATGGGCGTTTGCATAGTTATTGAATTCAATGTACATCAATGATTTTTGGTGTTTACATTCGTATATATTGTTAAATTAAATTGCAAAAAATAAAACACATGAAGAACTCGTAATTATAACAAACAAGACGAAAATAGTTTTACTAAACCTTTAGTCAGATTACTGGCCATAAGAGCACGAAATAAGATTTTGCTTTTAAAAACCATGGCGTTATAATTACTTATTTATTTATTTATAAAATAAAACAAAAGAATATGTATAATCAATAATGATTTATTTATTAAGGTGAACAAATAAAATAAAACTATGTAATAATTCACTTTTATATTTTTATTATAAAGTGTATTTTATTATGTTTGTGTATGGAATGTGCGTTTCTGTAATACTTAGTCGGGTCATAAGTTCTGTCACAAACTTTTGATGTAATAACTTATACGCCTTTTGACAATTATTTAAAAATTATATATGAAATGAAAGGTCATTAAATGTACAATATAATTTTATTTACATTATTCGAAATGCCCTCCCCCATTTTGAACACATGCCCTTAATCTACGCGGCCAGTCATCGATCGCTGCACGCACCACATTCATATCTATGTCTGCCGCTGCTTTAACCAGAGATGCTCGGAGAGACTCCAAATTCGGGTGAGGTTTAGCACAGACTTTTTCCTCCAAATATTGCCATATCTTGTAGTCCAGTGGGTTTAAATCTGGACTAGAAGAGGGCCAGTCTTCATGCCGGATGAAGTCAATTCCACGAGCGATCAACCAGTCTTGCGTACTTCGTGCCTTATGAGCCGGTGCAGAGTCCTGTTGGAATATCCAATGCCTGTTCCTGAACATTGTCTGAGAAAGAGGTTCCACTATGTTTGTTAGGACAGTATTTTGATAAACTTCGGCACTAGTTCTCACACCTTTTTCACAGAAAAACACCTCAGTTACGCCTGAATATGAGACTCCAAGCCAAACCATGAATGAGGAAGGGTAATGCCCACGCTGGACCCTCGCAATACGCGCGCTTGCTTCTTCACTGCTGTGGGCATACACCTTATCATTTTGTTTGTTAAAACTTTCTTCAATAGTAAAAATTTTTTCATCCGAAAAAAGAATTTCGCGGTATTTTTTTCCCGCGTACCGTCGTAGCAAAGCGCGGGATCTGTCTAGCCTAATTTTTTTTAAACGCTCGTTCAAAAAATGTCCTGTCTTTTTACGATAAGCTCGTAGTCCCAGGTCTTCATTTAGTACTCTTTTAACAGTGGTTCTGCTTAGCCCCATCTGCAGAGCTAGGATTTTTTGTTTACGTACGGGATTTCGTTCGATTCGCGCCTTCACTGCTTTGATGACCTTATGTGTCCGAACTGTGCGAGGTCGGCCGCTTCTCTTACGATCTTCGAAGCTTGACTCTTCGGTGTATCGTTTGATAGTACGATAAACAAACCGTAACGTTATTTTCAAATTTTGAAGAATATTGAAAATGTCTTTTGGCGCGTAACCACAGCGGTGCAACGCGATAACCGCGATTCTGTCTTCTTTATTCGACCACTCCATATTTAAAAATGAATAAAAAATAATTTCTTTTTTATTTTCTACAAGCGCGAAAGTTCTATTTTTAAAATAAGTCGAAGAATTTCTGGCCAGTAATCGAAAATTAAAAATATAAGGTTTTGACAGAACTTATGACCCGACTAAGTATATATTCTGTATAATTGGGTAATAATATGGTAGTACTTTTCATTTGAAGCGGCCTGCTTAAAACTGGTGGTAATGGTGGTGGCTCTGGTGGGCTAACCACTTGAATATAAGGGGCTGCTGCATTGTTGTCCGAACCCAATTCCTGCAAGTTTTGTGATAAGTCCTGCACTGTCTGTCTATTTGCCCGCATACAGCACACATGACAAACATAGTTGCTTCTTGAGGTCTGAAAATAAACCCCAGTTAGAATAAACACATGTTTTCAAGTTTCATGTTATTGTACAGTGAGAAGTATTATGTTACAACATGCCTACTTTAAAGAAGTCTATGCAAACATGAAAAATACATAAAGATAGATATTATAATCACACATACCTACTATGA